GAGAGAAGTGCAACAATGAATGAATGGAAATCCAAAGTCTCTGTAAATTTTTACTGAAATTAATAATAAATTTAAATAAAACAAAACAAAAAAATTACCAAAAAAAGAGGAAAAAAGAAAAGGAAGAAAAAGATTCTTACCATTGGGCCAATTGCCAGTACCATGATAGATGGAGAAGAGATTGAGGTTGTTCACAATTACAGCTTGCTTGGCTCCACAGTCAACATTCTTAAAATGAGCATTCAGGAAATCAAAAGACAAATTTCACTGGGAAAATCTGCTATCAGAAACCTCTCCGGAGTACTGAAAAGCAACGATGTCAGTCTAGAGACTAAGGAGCACCTAATCCAGGACATGGTTTTTGCAATTATTTGTTATGCTTCAGAGAGCTGGACAATGACTAAGGATGACAGAAAAAGAATTGATGCCTTCAAGTTGTGGTGCTGGAGAAATCTTGAACATAAATGAACTATCAGGAAAACAAATAGTTCTGTCTTGGAGTGGGTGAAACCAAGTTTCGCTTAGAGGCTAGGATTTTGAACTCTATCTCACATACTTTGGGCATGTGGCCAGGAGAGACTGGTCCCTGGAGAGGAACGTCATGCTTGAATAGTGGAGGGACAGTGCAGGGCAGGAAGACCCCAGATGAGGTGGATTGATACAGTAACTAGAGTAATGGGGGTTGGGGGTGGTGGTGTTTCAGAATTGGTGAGGCTGGCTCAGAACAGGGCAGAGTTCAGAGTTGCTATGCATAGGGTAGTTATGGGTTGCAGGCTACTTGACAGCATATTTTTTTTCTATAATTATATTTTATTAATTTTCATAAACATTTACAGAGATTTTGGGTTTCCATTCATTCATTGTTGCACTATTCTCTCTACCCTCCTCCCAGTTTGTTCTTGTCCAAATGCCACAGTGCTTGTCAAAGCCAGTTCTGATTAATCTTCTTTGTACTTGACAGCATATAACAACAGCAATGAGTAGTTCATGGTCTGTTCTACAGTCTTTGACCTTGCTTTGACTGGTGATACTGAGCTTCTCTATCATCTCTTTGACTGGTGATAGTGAGCTTCTCAATCATCCTGTGTAGTCCTCAGGTGAGATCCATGCATATAATCGTCATTTATGTTTTTAAAAAGCATATTTGCAAATAATATATTATTTGTTGTAAAATATTCTATCATTTGATCCCCAGCCTCATTTCTATTACCAAGGTCATATTTTCAAACTACTAGTCCTTCTATTTTTTTTTCAATTTTTGCATTCCAGACTCCACTTATTACTAATGCATTTTTATTCCATGTTCAATCAATTGCAGACTGCAATCAATTGAAGTCTGCAAAAGTTGATAGAGTTTTCAATTTCTTCATCTTTGGTTTTAAAGATTGGTTTGTATATTTGAATAGTAGTTATGTTAACAGGTCTTCCTTATATGCGTATGGATAGTATTATATCACTCATAGCATTATATTTCAGGATAGATCTTGGAATGTTCTTTTTGACTACGAATACAACTCCTTTCTAGCTGGCAAAATAGATTCTGTAATTGGCTCATCCAAAATTGCAAATATCAGTTCATCTCAGTTCACTAATGCCTAGGATGTAGATATTTAGGTGTTAAATTTTATTTTTGAAAATTTTCAGTTTTCCTAGATTCATACTTCATCTTCATGTTCCAAGTATTAATGATGTTTGCTGCTGTCTCATTTTTTAGTGCCTTCCAACCCAAGGATCTCACCTACTTGTACTATATCCAACAGTGTTCCTCTGTTATTCATAGGGTTTTTAAAGGCCTATTATTTCAGAAGGCAATCCTGCTTCTTAGTCTGTGTTAGCCTGGAAGCTCCACTGAAACCTGTCCACCATAGGTGACCCTGCTGGTATATGAAATACCAATGGCATATCTTCCAGTATCACAGGAGCCCACAGGTCATGACAGTATGGCAAACTACAATCACATGTCTTACCCTTAAGAGTAAGCTATAAAACAAAGAAGCTTACAAATATCACAGAATACACCTGAATGTTATAGTAAATGGAAAACAAGCTCTCTGGCCAAGGACAGTGTACCTGCTAGCCAACAGAAGATAATAATTGAGGTGGCCAATCAGGTCAGAGTTCGATATGTCTGAGTGGCTAACCTCAGCCCCAACATGTGAGCCAGACCTCTTTTAGTATGGAGTGTGCATATAGGCTGTTAAGAAGGTGGGCTACCCAGCCTGAGGCAGTTTCTGATTGCCTCGGAATCTATGCTGGTCTGCTTGGCTACAGATGGAGTCTTTGCCAGTCTAGGGGATTGGTGCAGGCAGTATACACAGTCAGAAATAGTAAGCCTAGGGATATAATCATTGCCAATTATAGATTGTATCTTAACAACAGGAAAAGAAAAAAAATCCACATTACTGGATCAATAGGCAATCAAAAGGCACAAAAAAGATAGAAGTTATCAACGGTTTGATTTTACCTGGATCTACAATTAACACCTGTGGCACCAGCAGGCAAGAAATCAAAAGATGTGAGAGGACAATGTGCAACAAAGAATGAATGGAAATCCAACTTTTCTGTAATCTTCGTTAAAACATATGTTGTAAAAAAAAAAAATCAAAAGATGTGTTTCATTGGAAAAACCTATTGTTAAAGACATCTCCAAAATGTAAAAGAGCAAGGAAATCAGTATAGGTTTAAGATGTGCCTGATGCAAACCATAATATTCTCCACTGATTTCTACATATCTGCAAGTTGGACAATGAATAAGGAAGATGGAAGAAGAATGAACACCTTTGAATCATTGGCAGAGTACTGAATTTACCAAGAACAAACAAATCTGTCCTTAGAGGTAAGGACAGTGAAACTCCATTTCAAACTTTCTGGCATCTGAAGGGGTCAGTCCCTGTTTAAAAAAAAACCAAAAAAACCAAACAAACATGCTGGGAAAGGTAAAAGTATCATGCTGGTCAGTGCAAGAGAAAATGGGGGAGACTGTGAGAATGATGCAGGACAGAGCAAAGTTCATACAGTTGCTCTGGGTCATAGTCGTTGACTCAATGACAACAAAAACATTAAGCTTCACTCACTGTGCTGTAAAGTGATATGAAGTTTGACATATGAGTTACGTCACGTATCCATCATGAGAGTGTCATTCAGAATAGCTTCACTAACTTGCAGGATTAATAGAAATGAAAAGGGAGGGAGAGGGCAGCAAAATAACGCAAAAAAAAGAAACCAAGTCTAAGCACCTGTCATCTATCTCAGCCACGGAACGTTCTTCTGTGCCCCAATCCAGCCTGTGATCACGCGGACCGGAAGTCATGGACCGGAAGGGGACTGTCCCGGAAGTGCGGGGAGGAGGTTTCTTAGGGGAAGGTTGCAGTGCCTTTGTGCTGCGCTGTCTTCATAGTGTCTGGAGGAGGGAAGGCTCAGGCTCCTGAGCGTAGATCATGTCGCTGGTTGCTCGATTGTGGCGCTTTCTCCCTCTGGGACGAGGCACGTCCCAGGGGCCTCGGCTCCTGCTGGGAGGAGCTCCCGGCAGCCGCTGCCGGTGCGTCCTCGGGCGACTCCGTGGCTTCGAGGTACCGCCGCTGCTGTGGCTCCTGCTCTCTATTCCCCCAGCTGCTGAATTGGGGCTCCCGCATATTTGTTTAGGCATGTTGTCCTCTCTGCCCTAGGGAATGTGGTAAAGTGAGGAAAGAACTCAGAGCTTGGTGTGCCTGGAGCGCATCCTCTGACTACAGCAGACCACCGCCTCTCTGCTCTCAACAGAGAGTTGGGTAGGTCACCTGAAGAGTTGGACACGTATTTCCTGAGAAGCTGCTGACTGCGCTTCTTTGGGGGAAAAAAAACTAGAACTCGAGGGCTCTGGTCCGCTTGCAGCGATGCCAAATGTGCCAACAGCTCTTGAGACTGTCAGTCCTTGCGCAGAATATAGTATGAGTATGAACATGCATCGACTTCTCTGAAACAGCTTTTCCTACTTTTTAACAATTACATTTTAAGCAGTTATCTTTGAGTTACTTGTTTGACGTGCAGAATAGTAAGGAAGGCTATTAAGTTCCTGGATGTCGTCCAGGTCTGGCATTTACCTTTGCCCTGGTCTTGGGCTTCGACTTTTGATGGGCTTGGCTGCAAATCGTATGTCACTTTGAATTAGTTTTCCCCTATATTTAAACTCAAAAGTTATTACTGGGAAACAGATGGACAATTTGATACAGCCTTTTTTGTTAGATGATGCCTGTGAAACTAGTTAGCATCAAGTTTACACCTTGGAACATCACTAAGTTTAAAATCTCATCTTAGTGATTTGGTCTTAGTTTAAATGATAATAATGAACAATTAGTCAAGGCTTATATGCCACTGTATTAAACATAATATCAATCTTCATATCTACTCTGAATTAAGTATTGTTATTTTAACTGTTTTTCAGAGGAGGGAACTGAAGTAAGGTTAAATAATATGCCCAAGTTTGCACAGCTAGGATAATGTTGGATTTGATGGTAGGCAAAGTTCTCTCCAAAGGTCAAATAGGGAAAAACTGAAAACGAGGGAGCAAGACAGAAATGGATAAAATAAATCAAGTTCAGAAGAGACTAGAAAGATATGTTGTTATTGTTGTTATGTGCTGTCGAGTCGCTTGCGTAAGTAATAAAATTCTATCCTGGATTAATAATGTGTACTTCATTGAAACAGATGAGGGAGAGAACTGTTCAGGAGGAATATATGATTAGGTATTATTGTCATGACAA